AGAACCCACAGCAGATGTCTCATGGGAAATAATGCCAGTGAGAAGCAATGTAGCAATAAGAGAATTGAAAGGAAAAAAGGTCACTCTAGAATGAGATGCCCGGGAAATTTTTCAAAAATGAAGGCAAAATCAACACTGTTTTCAGACATACAAAAGCTGAAAGAATTCATCACCAGCCAACTTCCACTCTATAAAATAGTAAAGAAAAAATCCTTCAGGAAGAAGGAAAATGATACCAGATGAAAATCTGGATCTACTCAAATGAATGAGAAACAAACAAGCTCGTTGCTATTGAGTTGATTCCAACTCATCGCAACCCTAAAGGACAGAGGAGAACTACCCCATAGGCTTTCCAAGACTTTAATCGTTATGGAAGCAGACTGCCACATCTTTCTCCTGTGGAGCAGCTGGTGGGTTTGAACCGCTCACCTTTTGGTGAGTAGCTGAGCACTTAACCACTGTGTCACCAGGCCTCCTCCAAAGCAATGAAGAGCGTTGGGAATGGCAGATAATGGGGGTAAAACTAGCAGCCTAGCAGGAGGAAACTTCTCGGTAGTTCATTACTACTTGAGTTATATAAAGCACCTCGATACCTGTGCTCACCTCAGTGCTTCTTAGAGGTGAATTCATTTGTTAAAGGTTGGGAATTCTGGCATGTATTAATACTATGCCAAGTTAATACAAATAAAGCAAATTTCAGTCATTTTTCATATTTTAGTAACATAACTTGTAGTAACTCTTAGAGGGCTCTTAAAGAGTTTCAACTTCTCGTTACTAGTCTGCATTGTCACTAGGCTGTATTTTGGGGAGATTAAATGAAAACATTTGCGGTAGTGGTCACATGCCAAATTTCTGTGTTTGAAATGTCTGAAATCTTACGAATTAAAGGTCAAGTTTAGTTTTCTTCCACTATTAGAATATCTAAATTGGCAAAATTGACTTTCTTAGGTAGATTTCCTAAAATCTCTGTTTTTGAAGCCAATACTTTTTGTTTATTTCCTCTCTTATGTTAAAAAAAAAAAAAAAAAAAGGGAGGGGAGCATGGTGGCTCTGTAGGATAAGCACTGGGCTGCTAACCACAAGGTCAGCAGTTCTCACCTACCAGCCATGCCGCTAGAGAAAGATGAGGCTTTCTGCCCTAGTAAAGATTTACAGTCTCAGAAACCTTAGACAGGATGCTATGAGTCAGAACCAACTCGAAGGCATTTAATAGCAACAACAACATGGGGGGAAATTAAGATAGCCTGTCATCTTCCTTCATGGAGGTCTTTGACATCTATAATCTTAATGAAAAGCAAACTGTCTTTAAGATAGCTGACATAGATTGTTCTTGAGCTCCTACTTTGCTGTTACTTGCTGTGGAGTTGACCTTTATATTACAGAATGAACTGTTGTCTGATTCTGCATCATCTTCATGACTGTTGGTATACTTGAGTCTGTTGTGTATTTTGACTGCTTTTCAACCTAGAGGGTTCATCTTCCAACACTATCAAATAATATTCTGTTGTAACCCATAGATTGTCTTTGGCTGATTTTTAGAAGTAACACAAGAGTTCTTCCATAGCCTGTCTGTCTGAAAGCTCGCTAAAACTTTTCTACCATGGTATTTTAAATACCAGTGACATACTTTCCAGTATTGTAGCAACATGCAAGCCTACACAGTATGCCAAACTACTAGGCACTGTTGTTGTTAAGCGCCGCAGATTCGGTTCCAACTCTTAACAGCCCTTGTATAGGGTTTCCGAGAAGCAGCTGGTGGGTTTGAACTGCCTACCTGTGGTTCACAACCTTTGTGCCACACCAGTTATTTTTAAATGAATTACCTAAAATTTCTAGGTAAAGTGATAGGTGATTTGTGCATTTAAAAATTAGAAAGATATTACTAAATTGCCCTATCTAGAGATTATATGGGTTGACAGTCTCATCATCAATGTATAAAAGTTCCTGTTTCCCCAGTCCCTGACCATAAAGTCTTTAATCAAACTTTTTTAATATTTAGCAGTCTAACAGGAAATAGTATCTTATTATAATTTTAATTTATGTTTATTTTATTATAAGTGAGGTTGATTATTTTTATGTGTTTATGAGCTATTTGTCTTTTTAAAAAAATAATTGGTGTTATCAGGACTGATTGTGAGGGTTGGAAATGTAAAGGTAGACATTTTATAGCAAGGAGGGGAGTGATTAACTTTGCAGTCTAGGAGCGGAGGTCCCTGGGACCATCAAGGGAGAAGACCGGAGAGCGGGACCCTACTCAGAGAAGCAGTGACGCCAGAGATGAAGGCAGAAGCAGCTGGGGACTTTACACCCAGAGAGGGAGACAGGCTGACGACCCCACCGGGGGGTGGGGGTGGGAGTGGGGGGCAGGCTTGCAGGGTATACCCTTTGGTTGATGATGCATGGAGGGAATTGTAACCATGGCAATGAAATGAGATCTACTATAGGATGAATGTAAAACTAATGTTCTCCCATATAAACTATCACATAATTCACAATAAAACATTTAAAGAAAAAAAAATTAATTGGTATAAGATGACTTTGGTTATGATGTGTTTTTCTTTTATCATGCAAAATTTAAAAATTATGTGTTGTTGAATTTGTCAGCCTTTTCTGGATATAGACTTTTCTCATGCCCTTGTTATAAAAAATTCTCCTATGTATTACTCTAGGACTTCAAAGTTTAGTTTTGTCTCCCTTCATTTAAATTTTAAATCCATCTGGAATTTATTTTTGTGTAAAGTGTGAGGTATAAATCCACCTTCTTTCCTCCATATGCTTGCATCTTTTTGCCACTGGTTTAAAATGTCACTTTTTACATGTTATCTTGATTAAATGGAGTCCTGATGTGGCACTGTAGGAGAAGCATCGGACCATAAGGTCAGTTTAACTGCAAGGTCGGTAGTTGAAATCTATCAGCCACTCCTCAGGAAACCCTTTATAGGGTCTCTGTGAGTTGGAACCAACTCTGCAGCAACAAACAAAATCTTTATTAAAGCTATTGTTCAAAGTATTGATTTAAGAAAAAGTGTAAAGATTAGGTTTAATTGTTTAAGGGTGCTTCTCAAGTGTGCAGGGCAGTGATTTCTGAACTCTGGGTTACCTGTCAGAATTAGATCACCTCCCTCTTCCCTCCATGACAGACCCTGGTGCAGTAAGTTGCTGCTACTGAGGAGACAATAGCTGGCTCTAGTGTTGGGCCAAGAAATTGATTTTAACTGTTGATCTAGGAATTTCTCCTTCGAGTGAGACTCATCTTTCACACCGTTTTATAAAATTCACCTGCTGCCAAGGATGTATCTAATGACCTCATCAAGTGTTACTTTAACAAGAACTTTACAAAACTTTAAAAGAAAAAGAGACTTTACAATTTTGTGTCCTTAGTAAAATTTACTATTTTACTTGGTAAATTTACTTGGGTGGATCATATGTCATCCTTGGCAAAATTAGTCTTATATTGGACCATATTATGACTACATTTTGGCTGGGGGTACAGGGATAAGGATCATCCCTTTTAATTTGAAGCTAAAGTCAGAAAGGTGTCCTAGTGTGGTGCTGTAGGATTACACACTGGACCGCAAGGTTGATTTAAACCTCATGGTAGTGGTTCAGACCCACCAGCCGCTCAACCTACATAGGGTGGCTATGAGTTGAAACCGACTAGACGGCACTTAACAACAACAAAAAAGTCAGAAAGAGTATGCCTCTTTAAAAAGTAGAATTCTGAGGGGTACTACTAGTAAAATTCTAGTAGTAAAGGCTTGTGGAGTTCTAATCACTAGGACTAGAGAAAAAAGGCTCTCGAGGTAGGTCACCTGAAGCCACTAAGTAGAAGATGGACCCACAGCTCCTGGATCCCCCCCAAGGAATATTCATTTAAATCAAGTGGTTGACCTGCTTATTTGGATGCAGGATGGCTTTTAAATTCATCCAATACTGTAAACTTGTTATTTTATTTGGGTTACTCAAAAAGCAGCTTGTCCCTTTGAACTTGTGGTAGCAGATGTCTGTGCTTCAAAGTCCTAGTGGCAGTGTCACCTTAGTGATTGGTATTGATTTATTTTCTTACAGTTTATTTATTAACCATTTGGGCATCTCATCAAGTAGAGGAACTAGGGAGAGACATAATGTAGTAAAGGAAGTTAGAAGTAGTCATGAAAATGTATTTGTTTGGTATAGGCTGTTTTTCACCTTCACCCAGAGACTTGAACAGTTTTTTTTTTTTTTAATTTACCATTAAAATGGTCATGTTGCCGTAAAGAAATAATATCCATAGTATAAGCTTAATTATACCTCAGTATTGATTAATTTATTCCATTCTCTGAGCTATCTGTGTGACATGCCCATGGTATAACAATGAGAATTGTGTTAATATCATGATTCTGCCATATTAAATGTCATCAGGATTTGAGGGAAGACCTTCCCACGGAAGATCCTATATACTTATTAATTCAATGTTAGTTTATTTTTTCTGTTTTTCCTTCTGCGTCCCATTTTTCTGTCTTCAAAAGTGTGACGGTCAAGTTAGCATTCCCTTGATTAATTCCCAAGTCTGAATCCTAAAAGGCAGGTTTCTCTTAGTTAACTGCCTCTTATATATGCTTCTCCTTTCCCTCTCATGATTCCTCCTTCCTCACTCATCCTGTCTCCCCTACACTGGGGTTTTCTCAAATGGATTATCATTGCCCAGATTATTTAGCTAATGAACAAATCCACCCAACAATAGGAAGATCCCACGATGAGGGATACTTACCCCTTCCTGAGGAAAGCAAATTTCCTTCCATGTGGTAGGAGTAAATTTTGTATTTGTTTGGCCTTGTAACTGACAGAATGGGCAGTTTAGAGGGACTGGAGAGGAGGTGGTAGTTTTAACAGAGTGAAAAACAGTCCTATCCCTCTGCCTCCTTTGGGCGTGTCCCTTTTCTGGGCATCTCTTCAGGATTTCATTCCTCCTTACAACTGCCGTTCACAACTGCCCTTTCCAACTGCTCCAGAACTCTTGGCCCTGACATTCCGTGATGTAAATTATTCCACGCATGGCTCGAAATGGGTTCGAAGCAGTGTTGCCAGGTGTTGGATCACTAGTGTAAGTTTACCGGATGTCGGGGGAGGGAGGAGAAAGGGGGAGAACTCGCTCTTGGAATTTGTACAGTTGGTCCTGTTTCAGCCAAAGCACACTAATTGATCTGACCAAATTTGATGTTGTCGATGGCTGTATATAGTAGAAGCTCAGGGTTCGGAGCCAGGGCAGGATTTTGGTTGAGATTTACTTCCTTGAAGATCCTAGTGTTGGGACATAGAGTGTTTGGAATTGAACAGTTAGGAGACCTGCTGCAGCAAAGAAATCCAGAACCTCTCAGACAGACCCGGGAGCCATACTGCCTGGGATTATGGTGCTTCTATTTTATTTAAAAATGTAGAGGGAACTGTTTTCCTAAAGCTAGCCAAAATATGGCAAGAAATCTCTTCAGATGGCTTACCATGTTTAGAAACATGCAATTGGGAAATTGGAAGATCTCTGTGGCTTTGAGATCTTTACTAAAACAAAAGTCCTATTCCCCACTTGTTCATTATACATTTTGAGACGTTACAGTTGTGATTTATAAGCCCCTTTAGACAATCTGTGAGTGAAGGATTTGTTTTCAACAGAAACAGTTTAAATGGAACAGTTTCTATAACATTAAGAAAAATTTGTGTTAATAAGCAAATAGAGGAAAAACTCACCTGAATTAACAGTTAAATCTAGAAAAGTATAAAGTATATTGCATTGATACTGTTGGCTTTGATTGGCTCTGTTGAACCAGACTTTGCTATTCCTTTTCTTTGCAGTTGTCATGGATGATGATGATGATTCGTGTCTCCTTGATCTTATTGGGTAAGATACTTTTTCCAAACTCAGGCTAAATCAGATGGGTGAGGTTTGCTGTACTGAAACAGCCTAGTAAGAATATTAAAGCCTGGTGGAGGTGATGGTGATGTGCCATAGAGTCGGTTCTGACTCATAGTGACCCTATAAGGTTTCCGAGGCTGTAAATCTTTACGGGAGCAGAAATCCTCATCTTTCTCCCGCAGAACAGTTGGTACTTTCAAACTGCTGACCTTGAGGTTCACCGCCGAACTCGTAACCACTACACTACCAGAGCTCCTTATTAAGACCTGGTAGGCTTTAAAATACCTTAAATGACCGTCATAAAATACATTAAGTCAAGAGACAAATAGAGACATGGATTAATATAGGCGTCATGATTTAGTAGCCTTACATGAAATTGAAGGTGCCCTGATAGCACAGTGGTTAAGTGTTTGTGGTTGAAATCCACCAGCTGCTCCTTTGGAGAAACATGTGGCAATTTTTTTCCACAAAAATGATAACCTTGGAAACCCTGGGAGGTAGTTCTGCTCTGTCCATAGGGTAGCTGTGAGTCAGAATCAGTGTGACGACTGTGGGTTGTTCTTTTTTGTCTTATTTGGTTTATTTTTATTTACTGTCTAACAAATCCCAGGAGGCAGAAATGAATGATTATAGGAAATGAAACAACTTCAAAATAAAATGAAACGCTACTACTAATAAAATTATTTTAGAATGGAAAAATTAGGGAGAGGATATTATGAAAACTGATAGGTTATTTCCTTTTTACTCTAGTAAAAAAGTAATCCTAAGTATAAGTAATGTATTTATTTATTACATTCCCTCTGTTTTTGTTTCTAGAGACCCACAAGCATTGAACTATTTTCTTCATGGACCTAGTAATAAATCTGTAAGTATACTGAGAACACTGCAAACATAAAGTTTGGTTTCTTCTTTAAAGTTGAAGTAACCACTTTAGTGAATGTGTATTTTTTGCAGAGCAACGATGACTTGACTAATACAGGATATTCTGCAGCCAACTCAAATTCCATTTTCGCCAACTCTAGTGTGAGTATTGATAACTATAATGACCTCCTATTTCTATCTCTTTGATGCTTTGTGAATTGAGGCTTTAACTGCCTTTGTGATATGATGAGAATCCTTCCCTTGTCTTTTGTAATTGACAAGGAAGGAAAACCTACTGACCTGTATTGACTTTCTACTTTTAGCTTAGCCAGTTAAGACAATAGATGGAGTCCTGGTATGGTGCTGTAAGATTAGCACTGGACCACAGGGTCAGTTTTAACTGCAAGCTGGGTGGTTCAGACTCACCAGTTGCTCCTCAGAAATCCTGTACAGGGTCACTATGAGTTGGAACCGACTCCACGGCACTGAAACAATAGCAACAGCAATTAAAACAGTAAGAGATGTACTTTGCCATTTTTTTAAAATAAGCTTTCAACTTTCTTTCTAAAATGACTCAGAAATGTTATAACTTGAGAAAGTACAATTAGAATACTTGGGAGTTTGTTATATAAGCTTTAAAAAAAAATCATTTTTAATTGTAGTTACTAATCATTTTCCTAGCTGACACTTATTGAACATTTAGTGTGTGCTTAGCATTAAAATATTTAACATATATTAATCTCATTTAATTCTCACAATAATTCTATGAGGTAAGTTATGGTCCATCTTTTATACCTGTGGTAAACTAAAATACAGAAGATTGCAGAGATGGGATTTTAACCCAGGCCGCTAGACTCAAGGTCCGCAGGTGGTGCAGTTTGCTTTAGATTACTACCCTAAAGGTTGACAATTCAAACCCACGTAGTGGTACCACAGATGAAAGAGTTGGCGATCTGCTTCCATTAAGATTACAGCCGAGAAAACCCTACGGGGCACAGTTCTACTCGATAACACATAGGGTTGCCATGAGTCAGAACTGACTTGACAGCAGCGGGTCTGTTTGTTTGTTTGTTGCCAGGTTCTGGAGCCTATACCATAATCTGTAGGAGCATTTAGATAGAAACCTAAGCTAGGAGTTGGGGGACTCTGCCTGGAGACTATATCCAGGTGACTATGTTAAAGTCTTGTTGTCGAGTGCTGCCAAGGCAATTCCAACTCATAGTGACCCTGTATAGGATTTCTGAAGAGCAACTGGTCAATTTGTACCACCAGCCTTTTGGTTTAAACCGACCAGTGCTTATCCTACAGCGCCACATCAGAACTCGTGTTATTAATTTTTCATCCGTATTGTTATACTATACCATGGATGATAGGTAATCTGGGGTGAGATAGGTCCTCCACTTACTAGCTCTGTAGCTTTGGATATGTCACTAAATCTCAGAAAGACTCAAATTTCCTCACTTATGAAGCAAGGATCATAATAGAACTGAATGACTAATCCATGGAAATCACTTGGCACTGTGCTTAGTGAATGCTGTCAGCATCCTGGCCTTTATTTCCCTCATATTAAAATGTGGTCATATTCAGAAGCTTCCCCGGGAGTGAACAACTGTGTGTATGGTATGGTGCTGTATGATACGCACTGGACATCTAATTACAAGGTCAGTGGTTCAAACCCACCAGCACCTCCTTAGAAAACCTATACAGGATCGCTGTGAGTCGCAACTGACTCCAAGGCACTAACAGCAACAAGGTAAATCATATTATGCAAGAAACCTCTGCGTGTTAAGGGGTGGCTTGAAAGTCATAATACCGATGTCCTGTAAGATGTGTGAATCCTTATCATTTCTGAGATTCATTCTGAATAATTAATAAATAACTACATGTGATGTCATTAAGCCCATAAAGCCAATACTTAGCCTGTTCCTCAATAGTAACAAATTTCATTTACCAACTCTCCCACTTCCATGTAAGTATTAATTAAAACTTTCTAGATGGCTTCGTTCTGTATGTTTTTATTTGAAATTGGTAATGCATCATATTACTTATAATAACAGTAGTAGAAATGCTTAGAAAAATGTGAGTGTTTAAGTGTATTGTGTGTTAATTGATGCATCATAAAAAGCATTAAACTACGTATCATCATTCAGTAGCTATTTATAACTTAGCAACTATTCATAGTTACCTTCATATATCTCTGCGAAAACATGTCCTCATTGCTTCAGTTTGCTTTTCACCTGGTTCCTCAAACCCTAAAATGGTGTCCACCTCACTCGGACCACACTGGTCCCATTCCAACTGTTGATTCCATGTCACAGTAACTCGTTTTAGTTATTCTATCTAGTTCTTCCCATCTTCTAACCCCAACACCTTAAAACTAGGTAGATTAAGAATGATTAGTCCACCTTGCAGAGCTGTGATGATTAGGGCTGAGAATCATTCTTAATCAAGCTACCTACTTTTTTTTTTCTTTAATTTTTGCTTTATTTTAAAATGACTGTTGATTCCTTTTCTTAAATGATTTTGACATGCCCTAAAAAAGCCTGCTAAACATTATAAAATGTATGCCATTTATTAATTGACTGTGTCCATTTCTCTTCCAGTGTCTGTGTTGTCTCTAGGTAGACAAAAGTGGATGTTTGATAAAATGTTGATTGACTTCGACTTGAATAAGTGACTCAAGTGGTTTTTAAAATATCTTTTATAAGTTCAATACTACTGAAAAATCAGTTGACCACTCTATGTCAGAAGCTTGTTTTTATCTGAACTAGTAGAGAGGGATGAGGGGAAACGAGGGTCTTCTTTCAGACTAGTCTTGCTGTAGACCATCTCCTGAGTCTGTAGGAGAACAGGGCCCAGAGCTCCCACAACTCATTTAGGCTCCCATGTTGCAAAGAATTGGACATGTAAATCTCCTGAACACACATCAGGGACTGAAACTTACTCAAGTATTGGACAGGGGACAATTTTGAAAATTAAAGTTCATGCCAATATTGCAAAAGTGAAGCTAAACTTCAAACATTCCTCAGTATGTTCATGTTATTTATCTATTCCGTATAAAATAGTTAATTCATACATTTACAAAAAGGTTAAACATCTTTACTAAGAACATCAAGTATCAGAATAAAGATGAGCAGTTTTGGAGAGCTGTGTCTGAAAAGCAGACTTTTATGCTTTATTCATAGTCAAAAGTAGGATTGTTATTCCTTTTTTTTGTAAAGAATCTTTTTCAGAAGTTAAAAATGATGTAGCATATTGCTTTTTGTTTTTTCAGAATGCTGATCCTAAGTCATCCCTCAAAGGTGTGAGTAATCAGCTTGGAGAAGGCCCCAGTGATGGACTGCCGCTTTCAACTAGCCTTCAGTTTCTTGAAGATGAACTTGAGTCTTCTCCTCTTCCTGATCTCAGTGAGGACCAACCTTTCGACATTCTTCAGAAATCCTTGCAGGAAGCCAATATTACTGAACAGACATTGGCAGAAGAGGCATATTTGGATGCCAGTATAGGTTCCAGCCAACAGTTTGCACAGGCTCAGCTTCATCCTTCTTCATCAGCATCCTTTACTCAGGCTTCTAATGTTTCTAATTACTCAGGTCAGACGCTGCAGCCTATAGGGGTGACTCACGTGCCTGTCGGAGCATCGTTTGCAAGCAATACAGTGGGTGTGCAACATGGCTTTATGCAACACGTGGGGATCAGTGTTCCCAGCCAGCATTTGTCAAATAGTAGTCAGATTAGTGGTTCTGGTCAAATACAATTAATAGGGTCATTTGGGAATCAACCTTCTATGATGACTATTAACAACCTAGATGGATCTCAAATCATATTAAAGGGCAGTGGGCAGCAAGCCCCATCAAATGTGAGTGGAGGGCTGCTGGTTCACAGACAGACTCCCAATGGCAACTCTTTGTTTGGAAACTCCAGTTCCAGTCCAGTAGCACAGCCCGTTACAGTTCCATTTAACAGCACAAATTTCCAAACGTCTTTACCTGTGCATAACATTATCATACAAAGGGGTCTTGCACCAAATTCAAATAAAGTCCCAATTAATATCCAGCCAAAGCCTATCCAAATGGGTCAGCAAAATACATACAATGTGAACAATTTGGGAATACAGCAGCACCATGTACAGCCAGGCATCTCTTTTGCCTCTGCAAGCTCACCCCAGGGCTCAGTAGTTGGCCCACATATGTCTGTGAACGTTGTAAATCAACAGAACACAAGAAAACCAGTCACCTCACAGGCAGTGAGCAGTGCTGGGGGTAGTATCGTTATTCATTCGCCCATGGGCCAGCCTCATGCACCCCAAAGTCAGTTCCTTATACCTACAAGCCTTGCCGTCAGTTCTAACTCGGTACACCACGTCCAGACCATAAATGGGCAACTTCTTCAGACTCAACCCTCTCAGCTCATTTCTGGCCAAGTGGCCTCAGAGCATGTCATGTTGAACAGAAACTCTTCCAACATGCTCAGGACCAACCAACCATATTCTGGACAGATGCTCAACAACCAGAATACCGCCGTCCAGTTAGTATCTGGGCAGACGTTTGCTGCCTCTGGAAGTCCAGTGATAGTCAATCATGCTTCTCCTCAGATTGTTGGTGGGCAGATGCCCTTGCAGCAGGCATCACCTACCGTATTACATCTGTCACCTGGGCAGAGCAGTGTCTCCCAAGGAAGACCTGGCTTTACCGCCATGCCCTCAGTGACAAGCATGGCAGGACCTAGTCGATTCCCTGTTGTCAGCTCATCCAGCACTGCCCATCCCAGTCTTGGCTCTGCAGTTCAGTCTGGTGCATCAGGATCAAACTTTACCGGAGATCAGCTGACCCAGCCAAATAGGACTCCAGTACCAGTCAGTGTGTCTCATCGTCTTCCAGTTTCTTCTTCCAAGTCTACCAGCACCTTCAGTAACACACCTGGAGCAGGAACCCAGCAACAATTCTTCTGTCAGGTAATATGCATTTATTGAAATATGATTTTCATCCTAGGTTCCGTTAAAATTCATTCCTTTAAGAATGTCGATTGCCTTTTTCTTTTTAATTTATTTTTCATTAAATATAGGAGAACATTATGGTTTAGAATGAAAATTCTGGAATCAGACTCTTAGGTTTGAATGTAAGCTTTGTGACATTGAGCTTTCCAGACTGAATTTTTCTCATCAGTGAAATGGAAATAATAATATAATTTATCTTCTGGAGTTATTGGGAGGATTAAATGAGGTAATCCACATATAAACACTTAGCGCAATCCCTGGCATATAGCAGAACCTCAGTAAGAGCCAATGTTAATATATATACTTGATTGTGGATATTTAAAATGAAAACTTATTTTAGATTATTTACTGAACATCATATAGTTAGCCACTAGTCATGTGACTTTAGACTGGGTGGAAAGGTCACGGGTGCTTCTTGGAAGCTAACCAGAAGGGCTCAGGGACTCGGTGTGACCCAACAATGGGTAGCTGGCCGGTATCCTGCAGCTAAGGCCGGATACAGAGGAAGGGATCCAGGGCCTCTGTCATTTAATCCGGCACAGGAACATAACTCATTCTTGATTGCTCTGTGTAGGTCTATCACTGTGGGCAGTCAGTAAAACCACAAAAGGGTTACATTCCTGACAGGGGTCTCAAGTAGCTCACAGCTTCATTTCATTCACTTCCATCTGATGACTCCTGGGCTTTTACAGCTCTCAGTCCCCATTCATTTGGGTACATTCCATAATTTTAAGTCTTTTTCTTAACATCTGGAGACCATCATACAACCCCATTTCCATGCCCCAAATCTACTTTCTCTGTTTCCATTGCCTTTCTCCTTCACATTTAGAATTACTCAGAAACTTTTCTGTGCCATATAATCCATCATTTGAGAAGTTTATTTATACCTTTAGTGTAGTAATGCCACTAAGAATCCTAAGACAACAAATAAAGATTATGAGCAACGTTGTTCCATGTATTACTTTCAGTATCAAAGGTTTTTTGTATGGTGGTTTTCTTTTTTGGAAATGTCAGACCGACAGAAAAATTGAAGTACAAAGAATTTCCATATGCCTTCACCAAGAGTCCCCAAATGCTAACATTTTACATTTGTTTTACCCTTCTCATGTGTCTTCTTTCTCTCTCACACTCACTCATTCACTCACACACACATAGTTTGTAAGAAATTGCAGGCATGTTACTGCCTGGTTTGTTTGGATTTTTTTCATCTTTTATTATGAATTGGGTGAAGGTTTACAGAACAAATCAATTTTTCATTCAACAATTCATATACATTTGGTTTCATCTCATTGATTGCAATCCCAACAATGTAAAGTCACATATCACACTTCCTCCCTGGTTTTCCCATTTCCATGTGTCCTTCCTTCCTAACCCTTCTGAACTTTGTCCTTGGGTAAATGCTGCCCTTTTGATCTCAAGTGGTGGATTATTCTAAGGGGTATGTACTTCACTAGTAGTATTGGTCCCCTTATAGACCTGTTATTTGGCTGAAACTGAGCTGGTGGGGTAAGTTCATTTCCATATTTGAAGAGGGACTAATTACCATATTCTTGGGAATTCTACAAATCTCTATTTGACCAATAAGTCTGCTCTTTTTTTTTTTTTTTTTTTTTATGATTTTGAGTTTTGTTCCACAGTTTTCTCCCTCTCTATCCATGACCTTCTAATGTGAACTCTTTCCAAGAAGTTGGTAGTGGTAGCCGGGCACCACCTAGTTTTTCTGGTCTCAGGGTTGTAGAAACTGAAATTAGAGTGGTCTGTTAGTCCATTGGAATACTAGTTTCCATGTGTCTTCTGTTTTCATTCTTCTTCTTTTCTCAAGACTGGGAGAGACCAATAGCTGTTCCTTACTTAGATCATGAACTTTTAAGACCCCAGTCACTAACAAATAACTTTGGACTTCAGTTGTGTCTTTTCTAAACAAAAGGACATTTCCATACATAATCAAGCCAGCATTATTACAGTGCTATCTATAGACCTTATTCAGGCTCTGTCAATCTCCTAATACTGTCCATTAGTTCAAAAGAGAAAAAAATTGTTTTTATGATCTAGAATTCAATATATTTTGTTATCATGCCCCTTAGGCGTCTTGAAATCTGTAATACTTCCTCCATCATTCTTTGTCCTTTATGACCTTGAGATTTTTGATTTTCAAGTTGGGCTGGTCTGATGTTTTCTCACAGTTAGATTCAGGTGCTACATTTTTGGCAGAATTGCCACAAAAGTTCTGTGTCCTTTTAGCGTTCATGATGTGGCTTTGCCCCATTGCTGGTGATGTTACCTCGGATCACTTGCTCAAGATGATCTCTGCAGGATTTCCCTCCACTATAAAGTTACTTTCCTCTTTATGTCCTTCATAAGTGTTTTATGGGAAATGCTCTGAGATTGTGTAAAACTCTAGCTTCTCATCACACTTGCACATGCAACTTTAAGCTTTCATTGATAATTCCTGACTGAATTGGTTATTATTGTCCTGATTGTCAAGTAGAGCAGTTCTAATTCCATCATCTAGTCTGCCTTATTGTTGGAATTCTCTTCTAAGGATGAACTTTTCCTTCTCCCTCCTCGCTTTGTTTATATCAGTGTGGACTCATAGATTCTTATTTACTAGGTTTAAAATGATTACTTTTTCATTTTGATGCTCTAATTGACCCAGATGTGACTAGTATGTGTCCCTCCTAATTGACTGCTAGATCCTCTGACATGCTTCCATCATACTTTGAGTATTTTCATTAGGCGCTGGCAAAACAAAATGTTTCTGGTTTTATTTTTTACTTTCCCTACCCCTGCCCAGAATCAACCCTTTCTTTAAAGAGTCTTACTTCCTTCTCATAGACAACAGTATTTCAAAATGAAAATCTGAGCACTTTGTATGCATAGCTACTGAGGTCATCTCTGCTGACAAAACTGAGAAATACAGGTATTTATATATACCCAACATCTGTGTGTACTGTAGCAGCCTTGTAGGACAGACTAGAACTGCCCCATAGGGTTTCTTAGGCTCTAATCTTTACAGTAACAGGTCACCGGATCTTTTCTCCTGACCTTTGGGATAGCTAAATCATTGCAGTGCCAGAGCTGCTTCTGGTATCTATTAACTATTTCTAAATCTGTCATTCTCTATGTGTTTTTAAAAAACAAGAGGCCATGAATTCATATTAGTGTTTCCAATTCCAATTCAGCACCACAGGTTCATTCAGAGTCTTACAAGTGCGGTCCCCAATGCCCTGTTCCAGTGGGATTTTCCCTGGAACACTTCAGGCCTTCTAATTCCTAGAATTACTTAAGAAATTCTCAGAGATTTGCATGCAGTGTTACATTAAGAAAGTTCATATCACTGTTCGGCATATACCATTATCCGAATCACATTTATTATATATGGCCTGCTATGTGCCTAGAGTTGTTCTTACTGGTTTAAATACATCTTTTTCCATGAAACAATATTTCTCTTCTTATTAGCAATGACCAGGAAGCCCTGGTAGTACAGTGGATTATGAGTTGGGCTGCTGTCCACAAGGTCAGCAGTTTGAATCTGTCAGCCATTTTGAGGGATAAGGATGAGGCTTTCTGCACCTGTGAAGATCTCCAGCTTTGTAAACCCTACACAGGGTCTTTATGAGTTGGAACCAACTCAACAGCTCACACCACCAAGCCCCACATGAACAATGCACCATTATGTCAAATACCAGCAGAGTCTCCAGACCTAGTACAGACTAGGATGAAGCAACAGCTAGTCCACTTCTGAGGGATTAACATTGCCTGATAAAGTGCCAGAAAATGAGCCCCTCAGGTTGGAAGGCACTCACAATATGATTAAGGAAGAGCTGCCTCCTCAAAGGAGAGTTAACCTTAATGACATGGATGGAGTGAAGTTTTTGGGACTTTTATCTGCTCATGTGACACAACTTAAAATGAAAAGAAACAGCTGCAAAATTCATTACTAATTGGAATGTGGAAAGTACAGAGTATGAATGTAGGAAAACTAGAAATCATTCAAACCGAAATGGGATGTATAAAGATCAGCATCCTAGGCCTAAGTGAGCTGAAATAGATTTGTATTGGCCACTTTGAATCAAACAACCATCTGGCTTACAATGCTGGAAATGACAAATTGATCTTGAGTGGCATTGCATTCATCATCAAAAATAACAAGTCAAGATCTATCCTGAAGTACAACACTGTTTGTGATAGGATAATTTCCATACGCTTACAAGGAAGACCAAGAAGCTCTGGTAGCGTAGTAGTTATGAGTTGGGCTGCTAACCTCAAGGTCAACAGTTCAAAACTACCAGCCATTCCATGGGAGAAAGATGAAGCTTTCTGCTCCCATAAAGATTTACAGCTTAAGAAACCCTATACAGGGTCACTATGAGTCGGAACCGACTCCACAGCACATAACCACCACCACCACCACAAGGAAGAACAGTTAATACCACTATTATTCAAATTTAGACACCAACCACTAAAGCCAAGAGTTCTACCAACTTATGCAGTCTGAAATTGATCAAGATACATTGATAATTACTGCTATTGGAATGCAAAACTTGGAAACAAAAAAGAAAGATCCTTAGTTGGAAAATACGGCCTTGGTAATAGAAATGACACTGGAAATCACTTAATGTAACTTTGCAAGACCAAGGGTTTCTTCACTACAAATACCTTTTTTCAAAACATAAATGATGATGACTATACATGTGGACATCACCAGATGGACTACACAGGAGTCAAATTGAATTAATCTGTGGGAAGAGACGATGAAGAAGTTCAATGTCATCAGTTAGTACAAGGCCAGAGGCCGACTGTGGAACAAATCATCAATTGCCCAAATGGAAGTTCAAGAAGAAGCTAAAGAAAATTAAAATAAGTCCACGAGTGCCAAAATATATCCTTGAATGTATCCCACCTGAATTTAGAGACAATCTCAAGAACACACCTAACACATTGAACACTAATGACAA